GGAGTAATAGAGACATTCAAAAGACATTATAGAGGAGCATTCTTAAGGCATCTGTTATTACAGGAGACGAATGAATCCAAAAGCGTTCCTGAAATTCTTAAATCCTTAACAATGAAACATGTTGTTTATTGGTGTGCTGAGTCATGGGCCAAGATCAAATCTTCAACATTGGAAAAATGCTGGAACAAACTTTTTGATGGGATTTTGATTGACGATCTTGAAGAAGAAAATGTGGAAAAAACGATTAAAGAAATTGAACCTTTGATAAGAAATTTGCCAGGATGTGACGAAATTAACCAAGAAGAGATACGTGAGTGGTTAGCAACCGATGACTCAGAAAGTGAATTCATCGACGAAGACATTATGGATATGGTTCTTCATCCAGACAACCTGAGCTTATCAGAAGACGAAGATGACGACCCAGCAGAGGACAGGCACCACAACGCCGACGAGATTTTCAATGCCTTAGAGGTAAGAATTTTATACAGTAGGTCTAATTAGTTAGGAACACAGCTAGGTTCTTAATTTTTGTTGTCATGGTATAACGTTTTCTCCTTTTTAGATTGCTCTACGTTTCGTCGAACAATCTAATGAGGCAAAACCGCATGACGTTCTGCAAATGAAACGATGGAGAGATATAGCTGCAAAACATCGTATTCAAAGAAAAACACAAACGAAAATAGACGATTTCTTAAAAAAAGCAAGAACATGTTAGTTTTCCTTATTTATTACTTTATTCTGTATTTTATTTACATATTAGAAAACATTACAAAATCACCTCATAGTATTTTTAATACCAACTTTGACCAAGACTATTATGTTTTATACAAGTATTTGATACAAGAACAATATAAAAAACAATGTAATTTTTAACCGAAATTCTTGTTATCCGAAACGGCCTCCCCCCCAATTATTTCGGTTAACAAAGGTTTTACTGTATTAGCAGAAAAATCAAATGTATACCAACATCTAAATACCCACTAATCGAAATCGAAATCTATGGGAACATAATAAATCAGGAAGCAAGGTTTAGGTATCTGGGAATAGATATAACTAGCTACGGAGCTGTCGAAAAAAAGTACCAGAGCAAAGCTTAAAATCAAGAAAAGCGGGAGACAAGACACAAAAACAAGAATGTATAAAGCAGCAATTACACCTATATTAACATACACGACGGAGACAAAACCTGACACATCTAAAACGAGACGATTACTAGAAACAACAGAGATGAAAATACTTCAACGAATATCAGAGAAAAGTATGTTGGATAGGGACAGAAGCGAAAACATAAGAAGAGCATGCAATATATAAGACATAAATGTATGACTGACAAAACGGAAATAGAAGTGGAATGAACACATTAGTAGAATGGCAGAGGATAGGATAGTATGAACAGCACGAGATAAGTCACCAAATGAACGAAGAATTATTGGCAGACAAAGAAAAAGATATTGCGATAATTTAAACCATTTCGGGGGCTAATATTAAAAAAAACATGCTTAGAATGAAGAAGAAAAAGATATGTCTTTATTGTTATTTCTATATTTACACTGTTGGTAAAGTATTATCAAAAGTGGAGTTACATTTTGATTTCTAAATTAAAAAATATTTTTTAAATAGTTTCGCGTGTTTAGATGTTATTCCAACACTATGTACGAAAAAGACGCAGAGTTTTTGTTCACGACTGTTCACGTAGATACTGCTCGGTGAATTTTTAGACCGCGAGGAACGAGTAAAAATATATGATCCTAATTGTATTAATGTGCCCACTGAGTTACATATATTACGTGTGCACTTAGCTTGATGTTATACATAAATAATTCCATACGTATAATATACACAAAGTTTGTATATTCATTTAGTTAAAATACGCAGTGATAAGTAGAAGCTCACAGAGATTTTTCTTTTAGTTCCAAACGAGATAAAAGCTTTTAGACAAATTTATTAAAATGTGGTGTAAGCCTCTGCGTTTGGGATTCAGTTTTTTCCATGTATTTGATCTGTTATCAATGTTTACATCTGTTACGATATATTAATGGTAAATATAAGATCTACTGAATTTGATACAGAAATGGATACGTCCTGATGCCCCCCAATGGTTTTTAAAAATAAAAGAAGAGAAAGGGAAGCATAGATAAGTAGGAGACGTAGACAAGAAAAGAAAGAAGAAAAGGAGAAGCGTATGGGTGGCGAAGGGGAAGTTTAGAAAAGAATAGGAAGAGGAGAAGATGTGTAGGAAATAAAGGTAAAAAATCATCAATAGTTTATCGCAACTACACGAAAATTTTAAGCTATATATAAGTCAAATTACTAATAGAATAGAAAAATTAAAAGAGAAATATAACACAGAACAACAATAAAACGATCTAAAACAACAATAAAATGATTTTAAATCTAATTTAGAAAAACAAATAGGTCAGTTATAAAGAAAAATTAATACCCAAGCTTTTCTTCTAATATTGTTCTAGTAACTAATGTCGAATCATAATAAACAGCACCATCATCTTCCGTAGAACCAGACAGAATTAGAGCAAGCACTCACATTCGATGGTGAAACAGCATGAGAAACTTATCGTTTTCAATTTGAAGGTGCAGCTGGGCAAACCGCTGGACTGACAGAAGTGGAAGCTTCCTTGCGCCTTGATAGTGTCGCTTCGAAGACAGGCAGTAACCATCTTTGCAATTTATTCCCCAGATTCCTCCCACTTATACCTCTCTTGTTCAAGCTTTAGATACAAAATATGGCTAGCAGCATTTAAAGTAAGTTTTCCAAAGCAACTGTGTCGATATTAAAAGCATAACGAAAGTCTGCAAGAATATGAAGCCGATATAAAAATATTACTGCTTTAGGTACCTAAAGATTTTCTGGAACAAATTGGTATAAGTACAGGCATTCACAAATGGGCTACAAGATGTTGAGATGCAACAAACTCGTCTAATTACAATACCGCAAAATGCTAGATAAAGCACTAATCTATGCTTAGGTGTATGAAACTGTAAAAATCATTTGCAGATCTAGCCCAAAGTTAACGCAAAAGTCACAACCGCATATAATCAACAACTTGGTTTACCCTAGATGTAAAGCATACTGCTAAATCTTCAACAAAAGTCTTAAAATCAAAACAGATATTTCAATTGCGGTAAAATAGGATATTTGCAAAATAGTTGCATAAGCCGATCCCAGCCAAGAAAAAAGAGCCAAAGAATTAAGTCAGAAGATCGCCTAAATCCAGAAGCCCGTCACATTATTCGAAATACTAATAGATATTAGTCTCCAAGAAACAGATTTCCCACAAGTGACCACACAAGTCAAAAGATACTCTAGAATCTGAAGTTACACATTTAAAGAAGCAATTAGCGATCAGTAAAAATGAAATAGAAAAGTTAAGAGAACATGTGTCAATTTTGCAGGATGAATAATTACAAGAATTTCAAGATACTTTGAGAATTACATATAGCTTAAAGTAAAAGAAAATGTAACTAAAAAAATAAGTCACCGGAGGACCAGAGTTACACAGAAAGAAGATAATGATGAGAACTCCTTGGAAAACCTGAAAAAGAGTCAAAAGAAAGATAATGGTTTGAAAGTCATAAAGAATATCTTAAAACTGAAGTAAGACCCATTTGTCAGGACGTAACCAAAACAGTAAAACTATAAAAGCGTATTGGGCTCAATCATAATCTCTGTTTTTAATTTTAAATAAACTTTTTAATTGTCTATTTTATCATAAGTCGGAAAGCCCCGATGAAGTACTTGGTACTGTCAAAATCACACATTAAAGTGTGTGCAACAACTTCATCAGCCTTTCTCGAGGATATTTTGGAGTTAAAAGAATACTTAATGTTTTACTGAATCAATTGTCGCCGAGATGTAGAAGATTGGTGTAATAAATGCGATTTATGTAACGGTAGAAATGGTCCTAGATTAAGAAATCTTGGTAAAATGATACAATATCTTTCTGGAGTGCCTTTTGAACGACTTGAAATAGATATCCTTGGGCAACTTCCTATGAAAGAGAGAGGAAACAAGTACTTAATAATAACGATGGACTATTTTCCAAAATGGCCTAAAATTGCACCCCTCCCTAATCAAGAAGCAAGTATGGTAGTATTCATGACGTCATTCAAAATCAATACATGAGATCCTTTAGAGTAACATTCTGATCAATGACGAAATTTTGAATCTAAATTATGGCCAAAATTATAAAAACCTTCGGTATTAAGAAAACTCTACAAACACTACGCCTCTCCATCCACAATCAGAGGAAATGGTCGAAAAAAAAACCTGTTTGTCAATACCTTTCAATGTTTGTCACCGATAATTACAAATTTGGGATATTTTAATTCCTTTATTCCAGGTAGCCTATAATTTTGAACATAAAGCAACCGATTATTTTCCATCGATGATAATCACCGGAAGAGAAATGAAGCTTTCTCGCGATCTTATTTTTGGAAGATTGCCTTCCTGCGAAGAACTTTCATCTCTAACGTACATTGAAAATTTGAAAGAAAAGTTGGAAAAACTCTGCGAATTTGGTCGTAAAAGTTTGAAGCTTCATTGTGATGAAATTAAGGCCGCGCACGACATGCATGCTACTGGTACAACTTTCGAAAGAGGTGACCCAGTATGGTTATACAATTCCACACGTCAGAAAGGACTTCAAAACTTCAACGAAACTGGGAGCTAGAAGTAAACCCGAAGTAGTTTATATCGAGAGATTAGTTCCATACCATGGACACAGTTCAGTGAGATTTATCAGTGAAATATTAGAGAATGTTTAAAAACACAAGAAGTTAACAGTTTAAGGAACAGTAGTATTTCGAAGTTTATAGTTGTTACTGATTTATTGTGTTAAAAGTATTTAAAATAAGATTATAGTGCTTCATCACTAGTTAATGACGTTAGGTTGAGGGATATCATAATATGCGTAATAAAACTAAGCTATCAATAATTTTAAAGCAGAGTATAACAAATTTTAATAAGTTATTCATATACTTACCTCTGTCAACATAATCTCCTAAAAACAGCAAAGATGATGGTGTAAGTCCTGGACCTATGTGCCACAACACTTTTTCGAAATACAGTAAATCGTTAATGTTGCCGTGAAAGTCCCCTGGACAGAGAAACGACAAATATTGTAGACACTATATTTGTTCTATGGTCTTATAATCTTAAAAAACTTGATAAGAAACTTGTCAAAATAGACATTTATAAACTGACTGGCTGCTAATAGAAGAAAACTTACCCATTATATAAACAGGCGATCTCAAATTCAACAATCTCGGTTCCGTCCTAAATATTTCCCTGACCTGATTACAAATACTTATCAAGTTTCTGGCAACCATAGCTGAATCTAGCTGACCCCAAGTGAAACTGGACGTGGTATCTTTAATTTTGTTAATACTAGTGAGGTATCTGAGGGATTTTAACAGTTCGTTAGAAACTGATCTTTGGCTGAATATATCCATCGATATTCTTCGCGTTTGTTCGTTAAGTGGTTGTTTGAGGGTAGTATTCGAAACGGCATCTAAATAAATGAATACGAAAATATGATTTACTTTGTTTTTAAACAATAATTTGTTTTACACAACATTATAAAGGAGGAAAAAGAGAAGAGGGTTATTACTGAAGAATCTAATGATTGAATTGTTAAGATCGTAAAATCCTTGAGAAGGATACATACTTTACATTTACACTAAGCTATATAAAATATATGGAAAATATTTCTTTTCTAAGAAAAGTCCTTTTATACGGTATTAGTGATAAAATGGTGAACTTTACAACCGTTTTAAGCGAGCTATTCAAAAACGATGTAAAAATCTCAGTTTTGATGGATTTTATTATTCACTAAAATTAATAAGTATGCTACAATTCTCCTCTTTTCGAGCGAGAACATTTATAAATAACTTATTCGCCTCAAATCTTGCTCCTTTTGAGAACACGGTAACGCTGAGAATTGAAGAAAATAACTTCCACTAACTTCCAAATAATAGATCCACTAGAATCATTTGAAAGTCGAATTTACATCATGCCATTTTCATACTAGCGTACATAGCTTGCATGGGATATATGTAAAACTATCTTTAGAGAAAATAATATTGTACGACTAACAAACGAGTGACAGCTATTCGTATTTGAAATCACCCTTAAACCAGAAGTGTCATGGGATGAATTTTTTATAGAATATACGCGGGGACAGTTGAGAGTCGAGGTGGTTCCTCGAGTGGTAGGGATTTCTCTTGTGTATCTTATACATTTTTTAATAAAGTTTGAGTTTGTGATCCACGTTTTTCAAGAAAACCACGGAACAATAGACATTGTTTTTCTCAAATTCAAAGCTAGAAGAGACTGAGTTTAGTTCTTTGGCAGATAGTTGAATACAACAGTTTTCTGGTTGATCCTGCCCTGCCAATAGTGAATTCTAGCCAAGTTAAGGTGAAACCACAAAAGGCTCATAAACTCAGTTACGGTTTTTTTGATCGTACCCACAGTTACCTAAATAACTATGATGTTATAACAGTACTGTGTTGAAAAAGACATTGAGGTATGTGGGCTGAAGTGGCATTATAATTCAAATCAACACACAATTTTCGTTTGCTACAGATCTCCTAAAGGTAAATTTGATGTATTTTATGAAAAATTTAACCTTATTTTAAATTCAAATTTTAAACCAAATCAATTCATATTTTTAACAGGAGATTTTAATGTAAATTCCATGACACTAAATAATTCACCCACAGATTTTCTGGTCTTCTAGCATCTTGTGGTTTGTCACCCAGGAACTTTACACCTACAAGGTCGACTTCCACATGCGGAAATATTTTGGATCAGGTATATACAAATTGTGATGATTGTGTAGGTACTGTAAATGTAAATACTGAATCGGATCATGATATATTCCTTTTAAGATTAAATTTTATTAATCTAACTATGACAACAGTTCGAAATACTTTCAGAGTAACACATGAAGGCGCTATAGATGCATTCAACAATCTCTTGAGTAAAGAAACATGGCAAGATGTTTATCATGCAGCTGATGTTGAGAGTAAATATAATACCTTTCATGATAAATTACAGTTCTATTTCAATATTAGTTGTCCTATTAGAGAAACCAAATATTACCAAAACAAAAAAAATACATGGGTCATCCAAGAAGTAAAATCTTCTTCAGATAGTCTGAAGGATTTGTATATATTGAGTAAGACTTACCCTGAGCTAAAAACTCTACATAGACAAAAAAAATATCAGCACAAAGTTCTTGTTGAGGCCACAAAGAGTCAATTTAATTTTAACAAAATCTCTAAATCCTCTAACAAAAACAAAACCACATGGGCTGTTATAAATGAACTTAATGGAAAACAAAAAAATCACAAAAATATCTGTCTAAAAATAGATGATACTAGGATTACAGATTCAGATATAATATCAAACAAATTTAATGATTACTTTATAGATGCACCAGTGGATATAATTAGTAAAATAATTAAACCAAATTTAAATTTTCAGCATTCCAATGATTTTGTTCAAACTAGTTTGTTCCTATCTTATGTAACAGAGGAAGATGTCTTAGATATAATAAAATATAAAATTAAAAACAAAGCATCGTGTGGTTTTGATGAAATATCAGGTATAGTAATTAAGAAAATTGCGTCTCAAATTTTAACACCACTGACTCACATTATACATGCTTCTTTCAATACTGGTGTTTTTTCCAATATGCTGAAAACTTCTATCATTTCACCGGTATTAAAACAAGGTGATCCTGAATTAATGTCAAATTTTCGACCATTGTCTGTTCCATCTGTGATATCTAAGATTATTGAATATGCAATGCTAAAACAACTTTTATTATTTTTAGATATCAACCAAATTATCACAAAGCATCAACATGGATTTCGAAATAAATTTTCTACTTCCACAGCCATTAACAGTTTTTATGATGAAGTCTTACTCTCAATTGAGAACAGTGAAAATCCAACTGCCATTTTTTGTGATCTCAGTCGTGCATTTGATTGTGTGCAACACGATGTGCTCCTCGATAGATTGTACAGATATGGTGTTAGGGGAGTTGCCCATAGTTGGTTTGTTTCCTATCTGAAAGACCGGCACCAAATAGTTAAAGTGAAAAATAACTTCAAGATTTCAATGTCTGATCCAATTATTAATAAGAATGGAGTACCACAGGGCTCAATATTGAGCCCTATATTATTTATTTTGTATATTAATGAACTACCACATGTAATGCCTGATGCATTTGTATCAGTTTATGCGGATGACTCAACAATGCTATATCGCGATAAAGACATAAATTTTTTACAAGATAAAATAACAAACTCTCTGAAGACCTTCTCTGATTGGTCCAGTAATCAGTCGCTAATGTTCAATGTTCAAAAAACTAAATTTTTATCATTTACATCACGTTCAAATTCAACCAAACCTGATTTAAGTATTTCCATCAATGGTGAGGATATTTTGAGTTGTAGTGATGTGAAGTTTTTAGGAGTGACTTTCGACTCTCATTTATCTTTTAAGACTCATTGTTGGAATGTATGTAAAAAACTCAATTCTAAATGTTATCAATTGAGAAATTTGGGTAGAACACTTAGTCTGCAACACCTTCGTCTTTTTTATTTTGCTGAGGTACAATCGACAATAAGTTACGGTATAACTGTTTGGGGTGGTTCTTCTAGTGTAAAGGACGTTTTCAAAGCCCAAAAACGTATTGTCAGATGTATAGCAGGTGTTCCGTATGGTTGGTCTTGTAGAAACCTATTTAGAGATTTGAATATATTAACAGTGTATGGAATTTACATTTTGGAATTATTGATACTAATTCATAAAAATAAAAGAACTTTTTTATGTAACAGTGATATTCACTCACACAACACAAGAAATAAGAGACAGTTTGTAGTACCCTATCGACATTTAGAAATAAGCAGGAAGTCATCTACTATCTGTGGTTTACAACTGTATAATCAACTTCCTCAAAATTTTAAAAACATTAATTCAACTACAGCTTTTAAAAACCAAGTCAAAGAGTACCTAGTGACCATGTGTCCTTATACATTAGGTGAATATTACGAGGGTGTATCTGTGAATGCCTAAGCTGCAACATAACCAAATTTATTAATATTTTAATTATATGTATATATTGTACGTTTTTTAAGTATTTTAATATCTTAAATATTTTTAATGTATTGTTTTCATTTTTTGTAATATTTAATATTTATAATTTTAGTTTTGACTTGCTGTAAACCTAGTTGTAACTTACAGTCAAATAAACTATCTATCTATCTATCTATCTATGATAATTCTAGAGCTGACACATGCAAACAGAGTGGGAGCAAAAAGTTAAAGAAATAGGGTTGTTGGAGTGTCGTAGAAGTTAATTAAAATTACCTTGGATAGCTCGCATTTCATCAATATTAAGAGCTTGTCCACTTCTTTGGATTTTTACGGCATGAACAGCTATTTCATAATCCTTGCTATTTCTAACCAAAGGTGATGATAATTGTGCCATTTTGCTTCTTATACCTGTATATTAAATGACGATAAATGGTTTTGTATAAAAGAATAATTATTTACAGAGCTAAGGTATACACAGCTTTAGTACCTTTAGGGTATATCCGAAACACACAATAACTCTGGTAACTTGGTTCGTTAAAATTTGGGCTTTTAATAAATAAGGAAAAGATAAAGTACATGTTAATGGAAGAAACATGTAAAGATTTAGAAGTGGATTTATCTGTATAGTAAACATAGTTCATAAATTAAGAAACAAGCAAAATTAAATATTATCACGTAGAGATGAATTAATACAGATCGTGGAAGAGTTCTACGAGGAATTATATGGAAGTAGACGAGAAGATCAAACTGAAATATAAACAACCATTTCAAAAAAGATCATGCCGTCGTGAAAATCGTAAAGAATGGGGGAGTTTAAAGAAGGCCTATGTTCAGCAGTGGACATGATAAATGAAGGATGAATAATAATTATGAAATATATTCTTTCATACGATCTATTGGTTTCAAAAGCACTGAAGTCTTTTGTTCGAAGTGGTTCGAAGCTGATTTGCACTGGAAACAATATCTATAGAAATTGGTAGCAAACTATAAAGTATTTTAATCACGAGCTAGAAAGAACGAATCTTGTAGGTAGGTAATAAGTGTGACATTTGTGCTGTGAACGGTATCAATACCAATTTATTTTGATAAGTATAAAAATGAGAATCTGCACTGGTCCTAGATGACGAGCACTAATTTAATGTATTTGCCTTGCCAGGTCAAAGAGGATTTATATTACTGACTAAATATGCTAAAACTACAACATCGAAAAACATTTGGAAATTTATCGCCTGAAACATCAAAATGGCTTTTTGACATGAGCAAGAGTTATAAGATTCGGACTGGGTATATCCTAGACCAAGTGTTTATGTATTTATATGTATTTATTAAATAATTGATGGATTCGACCGTTACTTGATGGCAATTTATTTTATGTAACAATAACACTTTATAAAACAATAACACTTGAGAAAGGCAACCAGCCGAAACAGCTGTAGTGATAATATTTAAAATAAATTTTGTGGAAGTTTGAAAACAAAGTTTTGAGTGTTTTTTTGTTACATATGTATTTGTTTTATGACACCGTTTATTTATACCAAGCTAACTAAATTAGCTTCCTTCTTCCTTAGGATAAAAATCCTAAGGAAGGATCTTTGGTCCTGTACTGGATGAAGCATCAGGACAATATAGGATAAGAACTAACAAAGAGCTCGAAGAACTCTACCCAGACGCCACATCATAAAAGAAATAAAGTCCAGAAGACTCCAATGGGCAGGACCCCTCAGAATACAGTCTGACGAATGAACAGTAAGACTGGTGTTGGAGGAAATCCCAACTGGAAGGAGACCACGCGGACGCCCTCGTCTCCGGTGGCGAGATAATGTAGCAGGAGACCTAAGCACTATGGGCGTGGAGAATTGGATGGAGGTTGTTAAAGACAGAAAACAGTGGAGGCATGTTGTCGAGTCGGCTAAAACCCACGAAGGGTTGTAAGGCCACGGAGTAAGAGTAAGTAACTAAATTAAATAGTAAATTTAAAGTTACTTCATCATAGTTTTGATCTAAAGAATTTTGAATACGTCTTGCAATATATACTGAACGCCAAAAGTAGTAAGTAAAAAATCTTACTTTCTAGATTTCCCCCATTACTTGGCAAAGCTGCAGAAACTGGAGGCATAAAAGTTCCGCCATTTCTATAATACAGAAAAAAGTGTGACATAACATTTTTAAAATTCTGACATACATTCATTTAATCCTACTCGTTATCGCAAATTTGAATTGAAAATCTTGCCAAAAAGTATCTAAAATCAACGAAATTTCCAATATACACTACCGAGCAACGTAGTTGGAGACGACGCAACATTTACGCATGATAATGCACGGCCCCACACTGTTAAGATAGTTACTGAGTATCTTGACGAGGTTCAAATCACACGATTTGTTTGGCATGCTCGCAGTCCAGATATCAATCCCATAGACCATGTTTGGGATGAGATGAAGAGACGTTTACGAAGTCATGTGCCGGCCCCCAGAAATTCGAGAGAGCTTCGCGACATATTGGTGCAAGAATGGAATAATCTTTTGCGGAATGTGATCCAAAATCTGAGCCAAAGCATGCCTCGTCGTTTGCAAGCTGTTATCACTGCCAGAGGAGGAAATACTCGCTATTAAGGTTCTTAAAATTTCTTTTTTTCAACAAAAAGCACATCAAATTAAAATTGTCCCTTTTCAATATTTAGTATATCAAAGGAGAATTCTTCGTTTCCATTATTTTAAATAAACTTTAAACGACAAAAACGTTGTTTTCTTTAAGCAATCCGTTAGTTAACTATGTTACAACCAAAAATAGTTAAAACAGAATAATAATTTCTAATATAAATTCAAGTTACGGGGTGAGCCTAATTTTATGCTCGGTAGTGTATTATGACTGCAACGATATTATTTTATGGTTTGGAACCAATTTTCTTAAAAACCTTTTTGAATTTTATAAGTGAATCTACTGTAAATTTACGTGCAGCTTTTGACCACTAGTGCATTATTAACAGAAAAAATTAGGTATAAAATTGTAACCTACCCCTTTTGTTGTAAGTATTTTAGAATTCCTATTGAGGATCTAAAAATGGTAGGCATTCCACGAATTTTTAACTCTAATATCGCTTTCATGAAATCAACTTCGTTAATTGCACTCCCTTCTGATATACCCATTGCTCTAAAACATCGTATGATAAAACGTTCGACAGTAAAATAGATGAATATGTTGAAGCTTCCCAGAAACTAATAATTCTTGCAAACCTGGTAATATACTTATCAAACACGGCTAAAAATTTGGTTAATATGTTTTTGATACTTCCCAGGGCCATCTGGAATTATGCGAAAACTTACTTATAGGTTTCGGAAGCTTCTTTCGCAACACTTGCAGCATCTATCGGATTCTTTCTGGCTTTTCTAAGATCAGCAATAAGTCCTTTAAAATCGTCTATTTTCAATAGTTTATCATTGTCTCTATCGTAGTACCTAGAGCAAATTCAACAATTTTATATCTAGTTTTCAAAATATATGATATTTTTCTTTCATACAATTTTGAAAACTGATGACTTTTGGAAACAATAAAATAGAATGTAGTGTCTGGTCTTGCATTTATTAACGAAGAACGTGTAACTTTTGTTATGTAATAAACCAGCACAATTTTCTGAGAAATTATAGCAAAACAAAATTCCTCCCAAGAGTAACTTAAATAAATAATCTGTTAATGAAACACCGAAAAATTTTGTTTTCAACACTTCCACAAAATTTATTATAATTTATTATCACTATAGCTGTTTCGGCAGAATGCCTTTCTCGAATGATCTATTTTTCCATCGTTGTTTGGTTGTTCTTTCTCTGTTGGTTGTTCCTCTTTGTGGTTGGTTTTGTTGTCCTGTTTTAGGTGGGACACCTCTTCAGGACTAGGAAGTGGTTTGTTTTTGTTTGGTGTCAGCATGTGTTGCTGCGTTGTGCTTACTAGTACGCATTGGTGGCTGTAGTCCTGCAGAGGAGGTGGTGTCCAGGGTGGTCAGAGGTGAAACAGTTTTGAGCTAAAACGGTCTTTTTCAGAAATTTAATAGTAAAAATTAAATAGTTGGGAATTGTGACTGAATTTAATCAATAAATGTATAAATGTTATGAATCGTGGAGAGGGCAGCTGTGGCTGAGCTTCAACAAAAGACAAGTATGATTATGCAATCAGATCAAAAAACCACACAAAACAGATCCTTCCCTGTCCGTAGCAAGCTCGAAATGGGCTATTTAATAGTTACGGTGAAAATAGAGTGAAGTTGCCTCCAGAATATCAATGTCTTCATCAGGGAGTTGGTTGCTGGCACGAGTCAGCAATGTAGTGGCTGGTAATGGGAGGTTGCGTTTGGGATGTCTGTTGAATACATTGCCAAAGACTGAGCAGGTAGTTTTAATGATATTTTGGGCTCTGAAGTTTTGGCTGCGGGTGGTTTTGATTGTATAAGTTCTGCTCGAAAAGAAGAGGCTCTCATTGATGGACTGGATATTTAACAGTTGATGTATGAGGGCAGAGTGGTAATCGTGCCGTTTATTGTTTACTCTACGCAGGGTTTTTTTGTTTCAATCCCAGCAGTTTTTGTGTAAGGCGGCGATTAAATATGACATAAATATTTGCTCTATATTCAATCACCGGCCTGATAAATGTTTTGTACGTGGGTGTGTCCGTCCGAATTTACCACAGAGATCATTGAGTAAACCGATTTTTCTGTTCACACTCTTACAGGTTGTAGCCAGATCGGTCGTCCAGTTTTGGGTTTCTGTGAACACCACAGCGAGGTACTCAATCTGGTACGGAGTTAGAGTCTATTGCCCCAAAGTCTTAGGTCGATTCTTGCGGCTAAATTGCATGTAGTGTATCTGCGAAGATTGGGGTATCTATTTTTAGCATGCTTCTACACTTTTTAATCTTTAACTGAATAAATTGAGGAGGGGAGAACTGTTTGTCTCAAGTTGCTCATTCATAATTGTAAGATAATTCAGAATGACCAGAATTTCTAATAGAAAGAAGCAAGGTAAATAACACGAAATAATAAGATCCAGAAGATATTTGTGCACGGTAAAAATTAGAATAATACTCCTACACATGTAAGGTAAAACGGTATTCGATTATATGTTATGTCAATATAAAACGATAATGCCGTTACAGTACCATCATATAAATTCTTAATCTATTTAGTTGTACATAACTTAATGAAAATAGCAACGCCAAATTAAAAAGCAATAAAGCAGGAGAAATATTATTATCATACCTAAACATGTATTTGCTTCTCATTTCGACCGCAACTCCACCGTGAGGCGTGGAGGGATCTACAGTCGCCAACAAATAAATCCATTCTCTAAAAGTGATTCCGTATCGTACGCAGAAATCGGCAGCCCTAAATAAAATAATCTACGTTAGCTATCAAATCAAATCAATAAAATTAAACAAAACTTGTTTAATGGAAACAAGAAAAAACTTCAAGCATTGGAGAAAGTAAGCGATGTTGCTGAATAAGCTCGAATTTTGTCTAAAAATTATTCCTTAGGACAGGTACATGTTAAATTAAGTAATACTGTTTCTTGTTCTTCTTTTTATGTAGACATGACTCTGTTTTTTAATGTTTCTCCACTAAGTTGTCGTCCCATTGGTTTCACAGTCTTCCTACTGATCATCTGCCTATTGGGTAACCGTCTCTTGGCACGTGTCTTACTATAAATGTTTCCAAGTGTTTTCCTCTCTGCTGTTTCTAACATCCTTTTTGTCCTCTTTGTGTCAGGTCGTGTTTCTGCCGCACATGTCATTATTGGTCTAATGATTGTTTCGTAAATTTTGCTTTTGGAGAATTTGGCTTCTCTTTTATGGTTCAAAAATATACACACAAGTTTAAAGTGTCGTGTTACCGTCACTATTAGCTAAAATTATCGGAAAGGTCGCAATACAATGGAATGATTGATTGGTACACCCTCTTGGACCACCGCTTAGAGGGTTTCTTCTTAGCTCTGACCATATTAACGCATTCTCTCATTTGCCACTTCTTCGTCAGACAACGATCGATCGACACGCATCTGGTTCCGGACGGTTCTCGTGACCAACTCTACAGCTTGGTACGAATTCATCAATAGAACCAAAGGGTAAGTCTATTCTTGTATAAGACATTGATAATGAGTAAACCAGTTTATTTCTAATTTATTTCTACTTTTACAATTTACAATTGCTATTTTCACCAATTTTATGTATCAACAATATCATATTTTTTCGTTATAATTATTTATTCAATATAATTTAAACCAGCGACTTCTCAAGTTTAATTACTAAACACATGCATATTGCCTTGCATATTTCTTGGAGAAAATAACATGTTAAATTGTGTGGAGGTTACAATTCTGGTGTTGGTGATCTATTATAGTCACCTTTAACAAACAGTGATCGAAAGTAGTCTACTCATATTTCCTTCTGAATGTGTTTCGTTTTTATTAGTTCGTCCATCTCTTTTGTTTGTCCTCTGATCATTCTCCATATTTCTTTTTGTGTTCCGTAGTAATACTTGTAATTAAAAGTCCTGACCTTAACTTTGTAATAGTCAAGATTCTGAGTGCTAACCGTAGATTAATAAAACGGTTTCTACTCTTCTTTGCAAGATGACGTGCAGAAGAGAGAAACTATTTATCGTTTCAAAGTATGTGGTCCAGATACGATGCTTTTTTTTATTTTAATTGTGTCATAAGCTTTCCCCCATGTCCAACTCGTCTTAACAATTTTTTATTTAGCCAGACGGGTCACACTCCCTCTAAGGGAAAAATTCACTCATCAGAGATACCTACGGTATCAAAAGGATTGATCTCGCGTAGGGCTCTTTCAATGTTCTCGAGTCCTAGGTGACTTGGTACGCTGGATTATCTCCAAAAAATTTTCGTACACATCTGGACGTTGAGAGTAGTGTACAGCCTTCTGCATGGTCTTGTAGAGATGTTTATTCAAACCTAGATATTTTTGTTTTCTAGGAGGTTCTTCGAAATAACTCCAGTAGTAGAGAGAATAATAGGTATTATCTGGGTACTTTCCATTCTTCACTGTCTTCGTATTTGAATTTCCAGATCCCTGTAATATCTTAAGTTTATTAACTAGTATGAGATCAGGTCTATTATGTGCCACTGTTTGGTCTGTGAGCGCAGTGCGGTCCCAGTATAGTTGTCAGTACAAGTGCCTTGTAGTTCTCATTTTCAAGTATACTTTAAGAAACGTATTGTTAATATGAGAGATGATTTGTTTGGAGTCGTGCCTTTCCTTATATTCATTTACAGCAAATGCCTGGCAGCCCATGGTAAGATGTTTTATGGTTTCTTAAGCTTGACATCCATATCGGCATTTGTCATTTTGTTTGGACCTGAGAATCTTTGACGATATATTTCAGGTAATTTTTGGTTGGTATAACCTGATCCTGATTGGCGAGTAATGAACCTTCTGTTTTACGGAACATCTGTCCTGATATCAGCCAATAGTTCGACGCTATATTGTCGACATGGTCTTGATTGAACTCATTGGGATGTCGCCCGTGCAGAGGTTTAACCATCCAGGTGCGCATTTCTTGTCCTTAGTAAGATGGTTTGTGCGCATTTCTGGTTCCTTCAGTATGATCGGTATTGTATCATCTATTGCACAAATCGCGCGATTAGGTGTCTTCGAGTGGAACCTAAAAGCTAATAGTTTTAAATCATCCATATACAATAGATAATTAAGCTTTGCCATAACAGTAGTATTATTTTTAGTACTAAAACCTGTGTCGGTTATGTTCAGTAGCTGGGATAGGGGGTTTATCGCTAGACAAAACCATAGTGGGCTTAGAGAGTCTCCTTGAAATAAGCTCCGGTTGATTGCAATATTTTCAGATTCGATATTGTTTTCACCAGGTATTTGGAGGTAAATTTTTGCCTTTCAACCCGACATAATATATTTTAAAAAGCTCACTATGTTATCATCGACTTTATATTTTATATACACTTTTTTATTATTATTCAATCAAGGGGTCAATCAGCCCCTTCTCTTAACAACACTGGATTCGCCGCAGGCACGTTGTATGATTGGATACATATAACTTAATGATATTATATATTGTTCATATTAATAAATAGATAATTAAGTTTCAGCTTCAAGAGACAAATTAAGCACATGCATTTCCATTAAATAATTTGGTTAAATATTTCAAAAATATCTCTTTCTGAAACAAATTTCTGTAAATTCGTTTTATAGACCACGGTTTATCTAGACCACATAAGCATGTGAACACCCTTTTTTTCTCTTGATGTTTGCCTTCATTCATACTGACATGTTTGGTAGATGTACTTTTCCAAAAACAGAAATTACTGCCTCGCTATGCATATTATATCCCCCTCAATAAAACGAGCTACAAAAATATGTAAATGAGTTATATTTTCTTTCATACGCTAGTATTATGTAGATGGCGCTACGTAGCGTGATTTCTTATTAAACTATGGCAAAAACTTACCGAAACAAGCTAGTAGCATTAGGTTTCTCCCAACCTAAATCTGTTACAGCTTTTGTAAACGAACGGATGTTCATATAAGCAGCTGGAAAAGTCATTAATACAAATTCTTTTAAAATCATTTCTTGTCCTACAAAGGCAACAATACGGTTAACTTTAACGAAAGTTCAAGCTGAATATAGCCGCAAATGTCAACCATGGAACAAAATATTTCAGTTTGGCAATGTTTGTTGACATTTGCGGCTATATTCAGCTTGTACTTTCTTTAAAGTTAACCCAATATACCTTATAAAACGAAGTAGTGTTCTCTAAAATTTAATGACAAGATGTTAGTGAAAATAAAATAGATTGCGTAAGGGAAAGAAGAAAATAGTTTGTGTATTGGCGACGTGCAAGTACTTGGAGGGGATACGAGAAACGATCCTGCGCGAGTAGCGGGGAAATTTTGCATTTTTTACTGTACATTTCATAGATTTCATAAATTCATATTGTCAATTGTCATATTTCATATTCGTTTTGTTTATTTACATTTACACCTTCTGTCTCTGAAGAAAATGGGATTTATAGGAAATGCTGTGTTATAAATTGTAAAAATACAACAAAAAGTTGTTAATTTAAGTTTTATTCGTTTCCAACTTCGAAGCACAAATCTACTACAAAGAGAACAGTGGATTTATATCATAAAAAAGCATAAGTAACATAACCTAAATTATGCATTATTCTTGCGCCCGATTTTAAAGTCAGTTTGAAATAAATAATAAATAAAAGTTCACTTTTAAGTGTAAATTTTAGTTTCATAACACTCACTTAGAGTTCATTTTAGCCCAAAAATCAAGTTTAATGTTGTAAAATGTAAATTTTATTTTTTTGAAGTTTACAAGAATGCATCAAGTTCAAGTTTTTCTGAAGATGCATTAAGATATATTCGCTGTCCAAAAGTTTACAAGGAAAGAATTAATTGTTCAAACCAATATGATGATATCATGGGCTTAACCTGCTAATTTATGCATTAGCATTATTTATTATTTTTTGACATTTGCCACTACTAAAGCTTTTCCCTTTGACTCAGTGCTTGGTTGAAAAGTTATTTGGTGATTTACTTTCTCAAATCCAGTTTTTATTATTGAATCCATATTAACAGTAATGCTGTAATTCAATAATATATTTATTTGTATTTACGCTACATCAACGTTTACCTTTTAATAACATACCGACATAACCTCAATCTTACTTTTTCTTCTTATTCTTTTTTGGGGCCACGTCCTTGACAGTTATCCGGTTACCTCGATCTAACATAAAAGCACAGTAAATTTTGCTGATTTACGACACCAGTTGTCGCTGTTCCGAACTTGCAGGGTCCCAATATTATAGTCTTTTTAGTAATCGTGTTCAGAAATGGAAAATGTGTGAAAATTGAGAATCCTAATAACAGTGTTATCTTAGATTTTGAGAGTATGACATGATTTATAAAAAATGCAATAAATCAAAAAATAGTATTTTCTAGATAGAAAATCATACCTAACCGATCGATATTGGCTGCATCAACCAACTGAGCAAAATTATTCCCTTTTCCAATGACCAATATGTCCTCTCCAGTTTCCAATAAAGTGTCCATAATAATTATATCTTCGGGAGAATTGTAAGAGTTCGGCAATTGTTCTTTTTTAATTAGGAAAAACAATTCTACTAACTCGGGACTTCGTAAGTTGTGCATTTGTAATAATTTAAGTATGTCGGACTGAGAAACCCAACGACATTTTCCCCTATACTGCAAGTATTATAAACAAGTATTACAAAATATAATTTTACTCTATTATAGTAAATCCAAAAGGAATATAAAACATCAATTTTTCAAATACGGAAAAGATAATATATTATTTGTGTTCACGAAATAGAAAAGTTGGCTATAACATTGTTAAACAAATTAAGGAAATATTAATGCTAATATCTAATTAAATCTAAATATCCAAATGAAGGAATATAAAATCCCAACATATTCCACTATCAATGGAAAAAAATCAAAAACTAGAGAAGGAGCCCGAGGTAAGACAAAAGAAGTAGAGGAAAACGCCCTACTCGTTGGACTGGCGATCTCAAGCAAACGTCAAGAAATTGGATGAGAAATTCTCAAGATAGAGCACAATCAACAAAAATAAGGGGAAGCCTATGTCCAGCAGTGAACGCAAAGAGCTGGGTGATGATGATGATAACAATGCTGATATGTATATAAATCTAAGACTGAACAAGAGATACAATCTGAAAATAATCCAAGTATACGCCCCAACCAGCGATTAAGAAAATGTAGTGGTTAAAGCCTCTCTGGGGAAATCGAAGGCAGAAATCGACCATTACAGGACATGTTAACAGCAAACTTTAGCGGTAAAGAAAAAGGAAGAACAAGAAATAATAATCGGGGATTTTGGAATCGGAGTAAGAAATGAAAGAGGCAAAATGCTGACCGACTTTCTGTTGAAACACAAACAATATACAATAAAAACTGTTTTTAAGAAAAAACAGAATAGGAATTGGACGTGGGTTAGTCTAGATAGTAGTACTAAAAGTGAATATGATTACGATAAACGATAAACCTACAAAAAGAAAGAGCAAAAGCAAAGGTGATAAACAGCAGATAATACAATTAGCAAATATAAAACAGCCTAATGAACATACGGCCAAACGTAAGCGACAAAACAAAGGAAAACAAAGAAATATATAGAAAACGAAAACGAAATAAAAGAGTTCCAGCAGAAATTGGAAAAGTTCTAAGAAATAATACTAATGCAATTACCTAACCATTAAAAGGAAAGAAAGGTTTAAAGTTAATGAAAAGAGAACACAAAGCAAAAAATTTCCCGACACGATTAACGATTTTCATAAATCAGCCATCTGAAGTACTTGTACCCATAACAGTGTCAGAAGTAAGAGCAGCTTTAAAAGAAATGACGAACCATCGATCGCCTGGTGATGATGGACTGCTGCTTTTACTGGTGTAATAAAAGTAGAAGGGGAAATCCTACTAAAATCAATAAGCGAACTATTTAATAAATACTTACATAATGGTACGATTTCAAAAGACTAGAATAATACAATGATGGTCTTCATACGCAAAAAAGGTAATATTTCTAAATTAAAAAGTTTTAGACCCATCAGCCTCTTGAAACATATCTACAAGCTCTTTATTAAAAACCTTAACGAAAGGACTAACACCTAAACTTGATTTCTATTATCCCAAAGAAGAGGCAGGCTTCAGTGTAAGATATTTGCAAGATCTCTGTAAAAGACCATCTTATGTGTGTGACATTAGAACAAAGATCCACACAATAATTATTTTATTTAGAAAATAATAAATATTCTTATAGCATATACATGATTTATATTATTACCTTTCCAATGGTATTTTTGGCCTTGTTTTTCGTCGGTGTGTCCACAAACAATTGAAAAACTATGTGGAGCAAATAAGGTACGGTGTGCCTAGTTATGTATAGCTTAGAAGTTCTTAAAATTTTCAAATCAGCACTCGGTATTGGACCAAAAATCTTTAAAAAAATATATAGCATTTTTTTTTCGACAATTTTCATTACAAAAACTTAATATTTACGTACCTCATTGATTTCTTTTTTGATAGTTTTTTCCCAAGACATTCCCTGTAGAACTCTAGCACCAGGTATCCAGTGCTCGATGTTATCAACTATGAGCAACATAGTGGAGTCAAAAGAGCAGAAAGCAACTACAGAAACTACGTCGCAAAGTTCACTTGCGGTTTTAAAATAGAGTGCCATAATTTACTAGGAAGATAATAAAGAAACTAGTGCGGGACCTTGGTTCTATGTTCTTCAAATAATACCATTATTCACCGAAATCTTTAACATATTCTTTACGTCTGACCAAAAACTTATTTTTGTTTTCATTTAGCGCATGGAAGTGGATTCCAAAGTAATTCTCAAAATAAAAGGAATTTATACTATTAGATTTTCTTTCAATCAGATCTGTCATGTTATAATTAAAATGACATTTTACTTTTAACTGATAAATATCAATCTGAAAAGCCAACCATTACTAAAAAACAAGGTACAAAAAGACAAGGAACAGCAAAATATATTGAATATTTAGTTTTAAATATGGAGGCGTACCATATCAAAAATGATAATCTTCCACCTAAACCAATCTGAGCAAATTTATAAAAACGATGTAGATCTAAAAATCTGAAATTTTAAAACATTTATTTTCACAGGTGTTGGTCAGATGGCCAAGCGGGTTTGGCGGCCGGTTCCTCACTAGCTTCACCTGGCTTCACTGCTAGTGGTTCAAAGGAAGTGTGTTCAAACACATAACACAGACATATGATTCGCGAGGTTATGTAATTGTTTATATTTATGTTTAATTATATTATATTTATGTTATTATATTTAACAATGTTAATATAATTGTATAGTATGTCTATGATTGCCGTAAGTCAATTAAACCGGATTAATTTTTCTATGTACACCACATAAACAACACGGGTTCCCTCTAAAACATGGCGGAACGTAAGGAGATGTGCGTACTTAATTTTCCATGGAGAGTGGGCATTCTGATTGTCTATTATTCTGAGCCTTAGTGTTGAGCATCAATGTTGTTAAGAGTTTTGTGAAAAAGATGAAAATTTTAAGAATTGCCTTAATTGATAAATCAATACAAGGTCTACATTTTTTTTTCAAAGGCCACAACACAAAGTGTGGAATCCTGATGCCATGGTGAGAGCCTTCACTGCTGTGAGAGATAAAGACATAAGATATAAAATAGCTGCTAAGACTTTGGTGTTCCGAGGGCTACTTTAAAAGAATATGTTAAATCTGACCGCACACCAGAGGAATGTGTAAATCCAAAATTTGGAAGAAAGTCAGTTTTTATAGCTGACCTCGAGAACAGTCTTGTCGAAGACTGTCTGGATATGAAGCAGCATTATTGTGAAATGACTATTTCTGACTTGAGGTGATTAGCTTTCCAGCTAGCCATTTTAAACCAGGTACCTCATCCTTTCTCGAATGAATCAACAGTTGCTGGCAAAAAAAGGATTCACGAAAGAAAATGTTGAAGTATTTCTCTTTCCTGAAGCCTGAACTCGAGAAAATAAACTTTGACCCGTCAAAAATATTTAATGTAAACGAAACAGGGATATCTGTAGTCCAGCACAAAGCCACTAGAGTAGTAACCTGTAAGGAGAAAAAGCAAGTGCATAAACTTTCATCTACTGAACGTGGATCCACAACCACAGTCATAACCTCTATGTCAGCAGCAGGCCAGTATATTCCACTCTTGTTAATATTTCCACTTAAAAGGTGACAGGACAAATTGCTTGACGGAGCTCCTTCGAGGTCGATAGGCGGATGTTCAGATTCAGGTTGGGTAACTGATCCACTGTTTCTTAAGTAGTTTAAACACTTCAGTTCCATGTGAACCCATCAAAAGACAATCCTGTTGTGCTTATCCTTCATGGTCACTATTCCCACACTAGAAATCTCGAACTTATTGACATTGCAAGAGAGTCAGGAGTATCTATAGTTTGCCTTCCTCCACACTCAACAGACAAGCTACAACCTTTGAATGTATCGTTTATGTTTCCTTTGAAAACTAGATACGCAAAAGCTATAGAACAATGGTTGGCTAGTAACCCAAATCCAGTTGTCAGGAAACTGCAAATATCCAGTCTCTTTTGTAATGCTATCTTCGTGCAGCTACTCTTGAAACCGCCGTCAATGGGTTTAGGAAGACTGGAATTCATACATTTAATTCTGATGTTGGACTTATGTGAAGATTTATATTTATTTATATCGTGTCAATAAACAGGTCCCCCGTTTGGCCCTTGCATTAACTGATTTTAAAATGTAATGAACTTGTGGATTTTATACTGCAGCCTTCTTCAATGCTGCATCGAATACCGACCGCACAATAGCTTACAAGTTCTATCATAGTTCCATGTTCGGCTAAATTTTTTTGAACTGACCTAGATTTACACGACCATGTTTTCACGACTTCTGATTTTTTCTGTTTCCAAAAACTCCGGCAAATCAGCTGCTATGTAGTATTTTTTACGAAACCGGAAACGTATTTTTTAACTATTTGTGTATAAAAATATTATTTTTTATATAAGTATTATTTGCAAACAATTTTAGGAACGACAACATTAATAATTTGCCAAATCAGACATTCGGAATGAATCGGAATGAATTACAGAATATTCGGAACACCTTGAATAATCCATTTAGGAAAAATTCTAAAGCTGGCAACGCTGAGAGAACTGAATGTCATTCTTATGACAGACAAGGCAGCGCCACCTTTACAGTTTGCGAAACGTGGTTTGTGTAAACACTGTAAACATAAACAAATATACAATCAAAAGTAGAATGTTCATAGGTAATACAAAAATATTTACAAACGCTTGAAAAGGAAATTGTGCGACATTTTTTAAATTGCTAATAGTTTACAATGGAAAATCTATTATATGACAACGAAAGTGATTACACTGATTATTCAGAGGACTCAGATGGCGAGAGTGAAGGACTTTTAAAAAAGGCCTTAGACGTAACCCTCCCCTACGATTTTGTACCCATAGTAAACCCTGGAAACGGAACTGAATTTCTTCAGAATGTAATATTTCAGAGAAAGAACATGAAACGGGTGGTTTGTGCAGATGAAGACTTGATGAGTAAAATTAGAGATGATAGTGATCATGTAAAAGTTGTTACAATTCCAAATCCCCCCACGGATGAGACCGGCAGTCTTCAACTACCAACTCTAGAGTGGCAGTTAAAAAAGCTAGAAGAATTTAAGCAGTTTATAGAATTTGTTGAACAACGCCATAAACCAGAAGGTAAAGAAAGAAGACTGAGGTCGAAGAATGAGCAACAGTTCATATCTGACATCAAGTCACATAGTCCTAAATACTCAGTATTATTTAATTACTCTCATGAAAGTAAATTGTCAATACTTGAAATTCTCACAACGTATTTGTCAAAGCAGAAACTATTGGAAGATTTTGTTGGGCCATGGTTACTGTACATTCTTTCCACATTGGGATATCCACCAAGTCCTGGTTGTTGTCACACAATTAGAGAGTTTCTTAGAGTTTGTCGCAGTATGAGGTCGAAATATTCCAATACTATGCCAGAATCTAGTCTCAAGGCACTGAACTTTTATATATGTATTAGTAGCAGATATTATGGTCAGCTGGACTTGGCCGATGGACATTTGTGATAGGTAAGTTCTAAGTGATTTTTATTTATTTATTTATTTAATTCCTCTTTGTAGGGTATATTTATTATTTAAAATTAACTTAATCTTCAATTAATCAGTAATTATATATAAACAATAGCTTTTTCATAAAAAATACATATGATGACTGCTATTATACTATATAGTAAACATAAGTATGTCAACTGTTCTTCAATTAATCAATAACAACCTTATTTGCTGATATAATATTATCCCAGACATTAACCTAATATTTACAAAATGTCGTTGATCTCTAATAATTATAAAACTGTAGCTCTTTTTGCTAACAATAGTCTAAAAAATCACCCGAAGAAATTTACCATGTAATCAGGAAAAACTTATTAAAACTAGTTCTGTTTTCATTGATGAAAAGTTAGTAAATGAAAGCATGGCTGTAAATTATAAAAATTTTGAATTCATCATGTATTTATCATATTATTTGTTTGTTTTAGGATGAATCTACAAGACTCAGAAATTAGAACAGAAGACCAAGCACAAGGACTAATAAAATAGACTTGTATTTAAATGTAAATAAATCTATTTTTAATGATAAATAGTTTATTTTTATAATACTTGATACTAAGGAAATTATATTCAAGAGTTCAGAACAAGCTTTTTTATGAAAAATGAAATAATCTTGTGAAAAAATTACTAGTGATGTGCAAGAAATTTATATTGCCAAATTGAGTCAGCATGCTATAAAGTCATACTAATAATATATTTCAAATATCATCATTATCAATGGCATTACAGCTCATTATAAGCCAAAGCTTTCTTCAGAACAATCTTCTATTCGCCCCTATATCTGGCAACTCTTCTCAATGCTTTAACTCCGATGTATTTTCGATCATCCTCTATGTTATCTTGATACCTAAGATTTGTTCTTCCTCTGGCTCATCTTCAGCTCGCCTAATTTCATGTCCTATCCATTGAAGACATGCTAATTTAATTGAAGACGCTAATTTAATACATTTTACAACATCAGATTCCCCAAAACTTCTGTATAACTCAAAGTTGTAGCGCCTACACCACAAATCCTGTTCTTTTACTCCTCCATATATTTTCCTTGAAATTTTTCATTCAAAACATTTAAGCAATTCTTCGTCATTCTGTGTAAGTGACCATGTTTCTGATCCGTATGTGAACACTGACCTTATTAGTGTTTCATATACTGTAGCTTTAATTTTTTTGGGTAGTTTTGGGGCCATATGTTTCCTCAAGCCATAATAGCACTTATTGGCAAGCACAATTCTTTTTTTAATTTCTTTGCTGACATTGTTGTCTTTGGTCAGCAGCGAGCCCAGGTAGACGAAGGTGTCCACACCTTCCAGTTCCATATCATCAATTAATAGTCTAGGTATCCTATTGCCTGATCCAGCACAATACATATACTTGGTTTTCTGTGTGTTTATTTTTAATACCATTCTCAGTGTAGACGCCCTAATGATCAAAATGACTTGATCAGAGATTCTGTGGACCTAGCAATAATGTCTATGTCATCTGCATATCCGATCACTTGTACGGATACTTCAAATATGGGGAACTGAAATGTTAAAAGTGAACATACGACAGGTAAGGGAGAGACTTATGTACCAGGGCTAGGTGCTTAATCCTTATTTAAAGGCAAAGGATACCAAGTTAAAGTTTTCTGCTTATCAAGAAGTTATTTGTTTCTCCTCTGTTGTATTATTTTAATTTGATATTATTTAGTTTATTTTAATAGTATAATTTTGCTCTTTTATAGTGGAAGAAGAAAAACCCTGAGCGGACTGCTCTATTAAAGTTTTATTGTGCATTGTGGAGTTCATTCAACAGACAAAAGAGGGGAACAGCATCAGCCAGGTGGCAAAGATTTATAGTATTTAAAAATCTGTAACGTCATGTGAAGAAATATGATGAAGCTTCCAACAAGGAATACACTGTTTTTTTTTCTGATTTAATAATATGTGTTACGGCATTCTCTGAAGAGCAAGAATTAACTCTAGTAGAATACATCCTGGCTGCAAGTAGAATATATCATGCCTTAACATCCGTTCAAGTCAGCATTGCAATATGGATGTACTCTTAAATGTAAACCAGGCAATTCATGGAAAGTTAATCAAATGGCAGGATATGACTGGTTCAAAGGCTTTATATGGAAATCCACAAGAAACTTTCACTAAGGTCTTCAGAAGCTACAAGCTTCAACAAAATGAATGTTGATATATTCATATGAATAACTTGTACTTATGAGGTATAATCTCATCCCAGATCATATATTTAAGGCTGTTTTCGCAGTTATAGCATACTGCGATTTGAAGTGGACGTATCACTTACTTTTCTACACTGCTATGTCAGACCCTACGTGACTTCCTAATAGCTTGGATGTTTATTCAGTGGCGCCGGCCCACGGGTTGTTTAAAATAAATGCATTATTCTCCATTCAAATTAGTTTTGTCGGAATACTTCTTTTTAGATTAATTATCGTAGATAATGTTTTAAAAAGAATTAATCACATTTTTAATTTATATGTCTTAGCTAAACATAATATTAAATAAAAATTTGTGAAACGTGACTGCAAAAAAAACACCATGGTGTTTATTTATAATAAATTTAAATTTTGTTATATTAATATTAATATATAATTAATATTTTGTTAATATTTGTTAGAGAAAACTGATATTAGCGTAGTAAAAATTAAACAAAAAATATTTTTATTTATCTATAAAAAATTGGTACCTGCGAAACCATCATAATAGTAAATGTATTTATCTGGCAAGTATTTCGAGGCGACGCACTGCGAGGAAAAAGTTCTCTGAATGGAATATGCATTATTTTAATATATTTATAGGTTGCAGTTACATAAGAAAAGTATCCAAGTGATGAATAAAACACAAATCGTGGATAGTTATTTCATCATATCAGTGGCATTTCAGCTCGTCATGAGCCAAAGGCTTCTTCAGAACAATCTTCAATTCGCCCCTGCCTCTGGCAACTTTCTCCATGCTTTAACTCCGATGGATTTTAGATCATCCTCTATGTTATCTTGATACCTAAGTTTTGGTCTTCCTCTGGATCGTCTTCCCACTGGTCCTCTTTGGTCGAAAATTTTTCTGATCGTTTCATCTTCATCTCGCCTAATTACATGTCCTATCCATCAAATGCGTACTAATTTAATAAATTTTACAACGTCAGGTACTACACCTGAAGAAGCATCGTAGTTTACTTTATACGATCTTTTTAACCAAGCACCATCAGCTATAACGGTTATTAACCCATTTCCGTCGGAATCTACTTCACCAATTTCTTTGGCTAAAGCTAATTTCTCCCGTCCAGCCTCTTCTAAGGAATCACAAAGTGTTTGGCCGATGATATCTGCAACTGTTTCCGTATGTTTTGCATACTGCCTGTAGGAAATCAGAGGTATATTTAATGCAGCGTGCTATGTCTGAATAACCAGAACCATTCAAGTTCAGTGAATTGTTACCAGAATCCTACGTTGCTATCTCCTTTTCAATATTCCACATTTGACATTTAAAAGTCAATGTACTTATCCATCCGTCCATTTTTTCTTTGATAATCTCCATATTAGAAAAGTTGCATGAAAATGGAGAATGATTATTCAAACCTTGAATATATATATATATATATATATATATATATATATATATATATATATATATATATATATAGTTAAATAAAAGCTTTTAAAAACGGTTGTAATATAAATAATAAATACTAAAGCAGTGCAATTGCTCTCCTTTTCCTTGACATAGGACGTTTACTGGGACTCATTTTTTATCTTGTCTCTTATAACTTATATCACTAACCTAATGTAATACTTAAAAATACGCGTAAACTAAAGAACTTTTAACTTACACCACTAAACTAATAATATATTACTTAACATACACGTAAACTAAATAATTTCAATGTTTTCAAAATAAATAAGAATACTGTAAACTGTAAAAACTAAGCAAGTTGATAAAGAAAATACAAGAATGAAAGAACTAAAATGGATTCTAATTCAAGCGAACTAACTGACCGTACCCATAGAGAAATAAAAATAAGACCGTACCGTACGCTCATGTGATTTGACGTCACTAATGCGATAACGATCAAGCTCAGCGACAATGATGAAGAACACGTTTCACTATTAGATTTCAGTATTTTTTAGCAATTTTCTTCAAAGTTTGAATACGCTTTTCTCGATTATTACTGGACACAGAAAGGTGAAAAAAGAATCAACGATTACAGAAAAAAAACTCTTTCAACTGATGGGCGTGAAAAGTTTGGTTATAATAGAACGTTAAACAGTATAATCCAATTTTTCAACAGAAAATTCAAAAAAATAAAAAAAGTAAAACCATCCGTTTACAGGCAACATAATTTCGTATAACATGTCCAAATTTCGAGACATTTCGTCGGTAAATAACAGAGAAAAAATTTTGGTGCACCGATAAAACAGCCTTAATTGTGACGAAACTGAAATAATTACATACAGTCAATATTCCTCCCAAAGTTGTGGCTAAATGTGCTGAAAAACAAGTAGGGCAAGTCTAGTGATATCAGCTGAAAGGGAGAACAAATCACTGGCCTTTTTATAGTAAATGCATTGTGAAAACCTCTGCCACCTCTACTTATGTGTCCCATAATCATATATAAGGAGTTTTTCTTGAAAGGTGCACCTCCAGGAAGTCTTGTTTGGACATCATTGAAGCACTCAAGCATCACTGAAGCAATATGTAGGATAAAGAAATTTATCTTTTCATATTAAGAATGTGAAACTTTTTTTGACGAATTTAGTGCTGTAAGTGAAAATCTTATTATAAATTTAGGTAAAGATTCTAGTTCTGAAACTGAAAAAGAAGACAGTGATATTTATTCTGGCTAATTTCTTAGGTGGATGTAGTTAAATTTATTCTGATATTCCATTAACTTAAAATTATTATTTATTTTTTCTTAAGCTCAAATAAAATAATTATTTAGCGTATAAAATTATTATTAAAAATTTATTGGTCATCCAGATTCAGCCTTACGGCTCTCACTCTCTCAAAGGAGAAAATTCACTCATCCCAGACACCTACGGTATCAAAAGGATCGAGCTCTGGTGGGACTCTTTCCGTGTTATCGAGCCCTAGGTGACTTGGTGTGCTGGAATATCTTCCAAAAATGTTCATACACATCTGGACATTGAGAGTAGTATAGCTTTCTGCATGCTTTTGTAGAGATGTTTATTCAGACAGCTTTTTTATATTTTCTATGATGTTCTTCGGAAAGATTCCAGTAGTGGAGAGAGTAATAGGTACTGTCTGGGTACTTTCCATTCTCTACTATCTTTGTATTTAAATTTCCAGATCCCTGTACTTGGCGATCTTTTCGTTCTGTTTAACACAAAGATTATTGTTGTTGGATATCGCCACATCAATTAGTGTTGTTTGTCTTTTTAGTTTATTAAATAGTATGAGATCTGGTCTATTATGTGCCACTGTGTTGTCTGTGAGCACAGCGCGCTCCCAGTATAGCTTG